GATTCTCTCCGGAGATCATGCAGGAAATAATAGTAATACTTAGTATTACCTATTATTGATGTATTACAATCCATCCGGGTGAAGCCGTATATTTCTAGAATTCTATTTAGAAGAGGAGTACTTGCTTCCTTTTACATGCATATCACAAATATATCTCCTCGTATTAAACGATTCCTTCAATGTTAATTGAAATTACGTGCAACTTTAAACATATTCTCCTATTTGTTGTTATATGAAAGAAATGAATGACATGTAATGTTGTTATTGAATAAAAATAACGATGACTAGTTCTCCAGTAGAAAATTTCTCTTGCATATCAGTTTGTAAATATTTGAGTACCAATTAAGGGATGATAATTTTAATAATTACAAATGCAAAGCAAATAATAAGTGAACGTAATTGGGGGACAAAGATATTATACTAATAATGTAAAGATATTAAAAATTTTTTGAATCATACAACTAATAAATATTATTATCGGAAATTCGGAGATATAACTGAAGTTTTCACCAAGGCTGAACAATAAGATCATCATTACAATGAAAGTAAATCAAGTAAAAAAGGGTTTCTTATAATAAAGTTTTAATTACCAAAATTATGTTAATTTCGGTAAGATTTATAACATTGTCCATTCACAAATATTATTGTTTTTTTCCGATACATCATGGATCGTAAGAAACCAAGGCTCCGTTAAATTCACATTGTATATTTCTTTTAAATTAGAATGATAATCGTATGAAGATTTTTCACATGATTGTAATAAGTTTATTGCCAAGTACCATAAAAGTGGAATTGGGTAAAACACGAGTTTTCAGTTTCAACTCTTTAATAATAATGAAGAGAAAAATGTTTTTTTTTTTAAAAAGAAAAAAGAAAAAATGATTTCTAAATTTATTTTATTTTATTTAAACATGAAACAAGTTTCAAACAAACTATTAATAAAATAAAAAAATAAAATAAAATTTTGAATTTAAGAATTGATTAACGTTATATTGATCTTTACTTTTCACATACGGGACGCGTGATCGGGTTTCATAGTATAAACCTAGCCGATTCTTTTTTTATTTCACAAATGTTACATCAAAATTGATATGCATTTTGATGAAACTCCGATGATCATTGTCAACACAAAAATCCAAAAACACATAAGAATTAATTAACGTTAATTACACTTAATTATAAGGTTCTTTTTATTTTACTTTTAATACCCGTATGGAATGCTTCATTTGTTTAATAATTTGAAGGTTGCATGTGTTATTTTTATTCTGAAAAAGTTTTACCCGAAAAGTTTTTTTTTTGTTTGAAAATGCATGAAAGATACGTTTGCGGCGCATTATTTATATTTTTTTTTCGGCATACTTTCCGAAATGGAATACAAACTTAAGAGATTTGTCGGAAACATGCTAAATTTTGGCCGTTATCAACGTTTGGTGAAACGATAACCTCAATAACGGACAATACTTCGAGACTTGATCTATTTGAGAGACAAAGAAAATTAATTAAAAATGTCTAAGCAAACGTAAGATTACAGAATTTATGTTGTGTAACATTTATGATTTATTTAGTATGACAAATATGGTATAGCATTGAAATCAAAAAAATAGATATAAAGAACGTTTCGATCGTTTTTACCATTAATAACATCTCACCATATTCTGCAGAACAGAAGTCTACACTATTCTCTCCACCTCTTTCCCTTCTTTCATTAATCCTCTTACAATCTCTTTAAAAGATTTTATTTTATTTTTTTTTAAAAAAAAAATAACCAAATAAAAATGGTAGTATTGCGAATTTCTTGGATTGTACTTTTGATAGTCGTGATTCTACTCACAAATTCTCCAATTGAGTCCGCTTCTGCTGCAAGAAAGCGTAACTTAAGTTCTCGTGATAACGTATTACGGTAAGCAAATGAAAAATATTTTTTCGTCTTTGTTAGTTTTATAATAATAATAATAATAGTAATAATAATAAATTTAACCGTTTTCTAGTTTGGCGGCCAGAAATACACCCATCTCATTTACTGGAAGTTCTGTCATAGCACGAGACGATCAACCAGCTCCTCGAGCATTACGCAAGAGAAAATTATCAAACGGAAAACGTTACAACAATCAATTTCCAAAATTTCATAAAAGAAACAAAAAGTACGCGACCTCTGAAATTTAAATAACGAAAGTTATTATTGGCCTTTTATCGAGAATAATTTAGTCTTTCTTTATCATTTAATTATTATATTATTATTATTTTAGCATTTTTCATCTTAATGTAATTTGCGTAGCTAATAATTAGAACAGCTAGTTAGAAAAATCATCAAACATGAAAATTCAATTCTCGTTTAGTGTCTCGGGTAACGAATAGGGCATTTGGAATTTGTATATATAATATATAATTTAAAATTTAGAAATAAAATAAATCAAAAATTCACATAACCTGTTTAAGTAAGGATCAATGATAGTCCCAATACAGACATAATGATAACGCTAATTAAATTAGGCGCATAAAATCCAACAAATACAATTTTATTTATATTTGACGTTTTATTTATATAACGTTTAACTTGAATCGATATTGTAATTTGTTGTCTCGAAATTTTCTGCACATTTAATTAATTTACATAAAATCTGTCGATTCGTTATGACAAATTTTTTTATCATAGGTGTGCGGGCTTTTAAACAAATCGTCAGCCGAAAAAGAATAGAATGCTTTTCGAAATTTCTTGAGGAGCTGAACTTAATATCCGAAGATCATCTTGTCTTCTTGTTACAGAATATTCCTTCGATTAAAAAAAAAAAACTAATAAATCGGGAAGATTGAATATATAATTTGTGTTCTAGTTATGGGTCTTTCAATATTCCCGTTAAGGCTGTGGCTGTGTACAATAATTTTTTCTAATAAGGCAACAAGTGATGAGAAAAAAATTAATCATAATAATAAAAAATAATTAACATCGCATATTTTATTAAGTATTTACTTTGATATAGCGAATTTTGATATAACGAATCGCGTGATGTTTACCAATTAAATATGTCAATTTTCCCTTTCTTTAACGAAGCAACCAATCAAATCCTTCAAATTCTTTGCTAATTTGCTATAACGAATTTGAGGAACAGAACGGTTACTTCGCTTTATCAAGGGTATACTGTACTTGGAAATTAAATGGTTTGATTTATAAGGAGCAAATAAAATTAAGATCCCACGTGAATTTTAAATATATTTTGAAACTAAAAAATGAAGTTTTTTTTTTTTTCTTTTTTTTTTTTAACGTTTCGTATCATTTGTATCAAAAGTATTTATTGTCTGTGAATAGAATAAAAATTAATAATCAACAAATTCAAAAAATTCGAGTTCTAGAAAAGGATTTTAAATTAATTCACCATAATATGATGATCTATAATTATAAGTTATTGTGCTTGCGTTGATCCAATTCATAATGACGAAGTGGCTAAATTTGACCGATCGTCATTATGAATTGGACAATAATTTTGATTATTATCAACGCAAGCACAATAACGATATTATCGTGTTGTTGACTTAAAATTATGAAGATAAGTTCATTTTCATTCTCTTTTCTCGTCAATTATACTAAACTTTTTAAAAAAAAATGAAAGAAACATTTTTAAGAACCACGAAAAAAGGTAAATTTGTAATTTAACAAAGTTTTATTTTTAGGCGAATTATACTTTTAAAAAACCTACTGAAAACAAACTTATTAATATATAATAGAAGAAGAATCGCAACATTTATATGTTAAAAAACTATATTTAAGATATGGCAAATTTTTTAATGATTATGCATCTTTGATCATTTTGATTATTTTTGATTTTTTTATTATTCTTAATTTTGAAAATTATAGATGAAAGTTCAACCATCAATACTCAACACAATAAATAGATCCCTTTTGTCAACCACTACAAATACCAAATGATATTCAAAAATTACAGCTGATAAAAATTTAATTATTTCTGTAGGTTGTCCTATTCCGCATAATTGAATTGATATCGCGAAAAAGTGAAAAAGAATAAATCATCTACTTGTTAGAAAATGTTTTTTTGGGATATTTATTTATTAGCCCCCTTAGAAAATAAATGATCTTTAGCTCAGAAATTCTTATAATTTGATTACCAAAAATTTAAAATCTAAACTAAAATTAGGCGATGGGATTTCTTGAAAATTTTTACAGTTAGCACAATATTCCATATTTACAATTTTACACTTATATTATTTTTTTAGGTTGAAAACTGAAACAAATTACTTGATATTAATAAAAGTATAAAAACAAGCATTATTAATAGTTTATTTATTAGTGTAGCTAATTTTCATATAAACTTCGTGATATCACAAAAAATATTAAAAAACAAGATCATATGGGTGACCACGATAATTAACGTTAATGCCCAACTAAATTTTAAATAAAAATTTTCATATATGGATAGGATGTAATTTTTTTATATTTCCTAGTAACGCATAATAAAAGTTGTTATGAAGTAGCAAATAACCATAAAAGAAACTAAATAAAATTAACATATATTATACCCTAGTCCAATTTCAATTTCATTTTACCGTAATCTTTTAATCTTTAATCGTTCATGAGATAATTTAAATTAATTTGAAATGTATGAATTCGCTTAATAAAGTTCAAATTTACAACTCAGAACCATTGCCTTTTAATACCATTATAACACCGGCACTATAAATTTGGCCAGGGCTTAGCGAAAGTTTTGTTATCCTAAAAATCTTAATTCTTGACCGAAAAACACCGGTTAAAGAAAATTAACTGGATATCCGATATGTATTTTTTCGTAAAGCAAGTTTCTTCGGTATAATGGAATTTTTACTAATGGGAAGGACCGTTCCGATATATCGAATTTCATTAAAATAAATTCATATCTAGAGAAATTATAATTACATACAATATCCCATTCTGCAAATTATTTCGAGATGACAGCTAATCATCAGATCTACCAAGTCTCAAAAGCAACATATTAGTTTTTCCAAATGAATGCAAATAATGCTTTACTTAAAGTTTTCTTTCTCTTAATAGTTTTAATGTCATTCAAAATAACAGAATCTATAAAAAACCTAGTAAGTTATTATAATTTTAAAATTTTTTAACAATGATTATATGGGACCTTTGCAATAGAAACTGCCGGAAAAAATCAATTTTACTTTTATATGCCAAATGTGATTTTTAGGTCAAAATATGTTCAGATTTAGCACTAACTCATTTTTTATTTTTCCCAACCGTTTCCCCAAAGTTCCCATATATAAATAAATAAATTTTTAGTAATAATTTGAAAATAAATGTTAAAACAATGAATCTTTTATATTATTTAAATACATAATATAGAAAAATTTTATCTAACAATAATTATCTATAAAAATTTAAGAATATTTTTAATTAAACTCTTATTTGATAATAATAAATCAATAAAATATAAATAAATATGCTTATATTTAAATTTTATTAAATTACAATTTATATAATAACTTGATTTTAAGATATATTTTATGCTAAAAAAATTAGTAAAAGAATATAAAGAATATAAAATAATTATTAAAACTAATTCTAATAAATTTATTAGAAAATTAAATATAAAATATAGTAAAAAAATATAATATTATAAATTATTTATTAAACAATAATTTAAAATTATTTAAGCTTTTTTATTAATAATTTATAATTATTTAAATAGAGATATTTTTTAATATTATAAAATAAATTTATATAGCCAATTCAGATAATATTCTTATAATTATATTATACTTAAATTAGATTATAAATGTGATAATATAAGGATATAATCTGAATATAAGAATATAATCTGAATGTAATGATATACTCTGATTTACATTTTTTTAATTGTAATTTTATAACTGAATTTATAATATATAATTGTAAAATATATTTTATTGTGATAAAATAACTTAATTTTATAGCTAACTTTTTATTATTTTGAATATTATTTTAATTATTTACTTTTTATTAATTTCTTTATAATAGTTATTTAGTATAATTTAATTATAATGTTAATAATTAATTTAATATGTTATTTTTTCTTGCTTTTCTATATACTCTTAATTGCTTTCCTAAATTATAATCATTATAATAATAAGATTTTTTTTTTATAATATGGGTACACAATGTGAAAGTGAGGGTTTAAGAACAAAGTTCATCCCTCACTGAAATATTGTGTGTGGGTCACAGAACGTTAAATCAATATTGATTTTTCTTATTATATTAGAAGAGCTTCTATCAACTCTAGAATCTTAATTTCGATATTATATTTCTTAATTCTGTATGGGTTCTCTAACCTCAGAAAGCATATTGATTTTTATTATTATATTAGAAAAGCTTCTAAAGGCTCTAGAACCTTAATTTTATATTAACTTTTCAGTTATATTTTTAAATCTAACGAAAATTATTATATCAGGAATTGATTCTGCATGAGTTAGCTTATTAATTAGCATATTAACTACTTAAATCTAACAAAATAAGTCTAACAGTCCTTATTACCCTATAAATAAGTCTAACAAAAAATTATGTCTAACGAAATTAAGTCTAACGAGAATTTTGTCCTAACTTTTCCTTATAATTTATAACATTGTGTGTCTGTGAGAGATGTAAAATCGATATCAGTTTTTCAGTTATATTTATTAAATCTAACGAAATTAAGTCTAACAAGAATTTTGTCCTAACTTTCCTTATGATTTATAATATTGTGTGTCTATGAGAGATATAAAATCGATATCAGTTTTTCAGTTATATTTATTAAGTCTAACGAAATTTTTTGTCCTAACTTTTCCTCGATTTTTCTATATACAAGAATGCCTTCTATATAAGCTAACTCATTAAATAGTATAATTATTAAATAAGTCTAATGAGAATTTTGTCCTAACTTTTACTTAATCAAGAATGAGTTCAATGCAGACTAGCTTACTAAAAAGCATATTTTATATAAAAGTTTAATGAAATTCCACCCTGCAAAATCTGCAGAATTGCCCCAATTTTTCTTAGTCAAGAACGGGTTCAGCATAAGCTAGCTCATCAAATAGCATAAAACTTTAATGAAAAATAAGTCTAACGAAAATTTAGCAAATGCCTATTGGATATTACGCTAAAAATTTAAGTTAGCTGAAATAATCTTTTCATTTATTCTGATTGGCAACTAATGCAATAATCTCCTTCTCCTATTTTTATCAGAATGAGGCATTTCCTGCAAAGAGAAATATTAAGATTTATAAGCATATTTCTATAGGTAACTATTATTTCCTCATAACTTCTTTCTCGTATCTCTGATCGAAGTCTATCATAGAATTAGCTAGCATAGGATTGGCCAACATAAGTTCTTTCTCGTCAAAGTCTATCATAGTATTGGGTAATATAATAACCTCTAACATGTAGTGGATATCGTTCACAAGCAGAGGTATAGGCTTTTCATAATCAGAACAAAGTATATGTTTTTTAGCCTTCCAATGAAATTGACATCCTTCAGGCCTAGTACTAGCATTCCTACAAGCCTTTCTGGTATTGCGGAGAAATAGGCAAGAATATTTGCTGATCATCCTACTTTTTTATTATTAGATTCGAAAAGATTAATTAATAATTAGTTAATGTTTCAGTTTTGCAATAGCTAGAACTGCTTGGAAAGCTTATAATTACATATCTTTAGTAAGGTTTTTACAATCGAAAAGTGATAGGTACATAGAAAATAAATAATTAAAGAAAAAATTATATAAGCAAGTAATAGCGTGACGGTTAGAGCTAATAAATATATCAAATGTCTGATGCTTACCCAGAATATATAGAAGAATTTAGTATAGAGATAGCTGATTTCAATCTGATTGGTCTTACTGCCTATATATATTTACTAAAAACTTTGCCAAAACATAATAACAGAATTATTAATATTTAAAATAATGATAACTGATATTTCGGGTAGAGTATTCTAGGAGTTTTGCATCCTGTAAAAGTTTATCTGAAGAGAAATCCACATCGGCTATATGGAGCTTTCATAGAGGAACTCAATATGAAAGACATCACAATTCTAGTGCTAGTGTTAACACCAGTTTATAAAAAGTTCGAACAAAATAATCCAATGATCAGCTTATATATCTATGAGTGGCATAACTAAAACAAATGTCTTGACTTTCGCTATAATTTAGAAAAAAAAAGGGATAAATACAAGCAAGTAAATCTTCTAGTAATTACAGAAGAAAATAGAAGCTATTACTGCATAATCAAAGATTTACACAAGCTGGTATACAATCATAGTAAGCATAAAGAGTGAAAATATCGCTGTCAATATTGTCTTCATGTATATTCAGTAGAGAAAGGATATAAGGAACATTTGCCAAAATGTAAGAGTTTGAATAATGCTCCTCAGCATCCACAAATATCAGTAAAAAATAGGATATTAAAGTCTTTTATAACCATAAATATATGCAACCAAACCCATATTGTATTTTCTGGGATTTAGAAATATTAACTGAAAAGTTAATTCCAGAAGAGAAAATGAAATTAACTTTTACTGAAAGGATACAGATGCATAAACCCTGTGGTTATTCCTACATAGTTATTCGAATAGACAGTTTACTTAACTATGAAATTATGAATCATGATTTATATAGAGATCCAGATGCGCTTAAAAAATTTGTTATAAAAATAGAGGAGGAAATGGTAAACATACAGGAGGACTTATCAGCTCTGGCTGAAATGATTATGGCATCGGAAGATCTTGAAACATACAAAGAAGCAACTGAATGTTAGATTTATAAAAACCCTTTTCTTGAACTATCACCAGAAGCAAAACAGGCATTTCATGAAGTAAAATGCAATTTGTTAGAGATTATAGAATGGGAGAAACATATGGAAAAAGAATATTCAAAAAAGAAAGAGGCACAAAAAGAATATAGTAAAGCTTTAAGTGGGCTCAATTGTAAGGTTAAAGACCATGACCATATAAGTGAAGCATATCGAGGATCTACTCATAATTCCTGTAATAAAAAGTTGCAAATAGGATCTTTTGAGACAAAAGTGCCTCTTATCTGCCATAATTTCCATGAGTATGATTCCCATCCACTCATGAAGGTTATTAGTAAATTCATAGCAGACAAGCTAAAATGTATCTTAGAAAATATAGAAAAGTATAAAGCTATGGATATAGGACAGCTTCAGTTCTTAGATAGCTTCCAGTATATGGCAATGAGACTTGATAAGTTAGTAGCATGTTTAGGAGAAAAGCTTGAAAAGTTCCTCCTAACTGTCAAGCACTTTACAGAAAAAGGATATTCATTAGAGAAAATTAAACTTCTTTTTCGAAAAGGAGTATTTCCATATGATTGGACAAATTCGTGAGATAAATTCGATAGAATAAGCCTCCCGTTTAGGAAGGACTTCTATTTACTTCTTAGTCAGCAAAATATTACTAAAGAGGATTACGAACATGCTCAAAAAGTATGCCAAATATTCGAAATAAAGAACTTTGAAGAATATCATGATCTTTATCTTGAGACAGATGTACTTTTACTTGCGAATGTTTTCATGAACTACACTATTATGTGTTTGCAAGATGATGGTTTAGATCCCTCCCACTATGTTTCTACACCAAAAATGTTCAATAATTCACTATACAAAAGTAGTGAGGCAGAACTTAAGCTCATGACAAATATGGATAAATATCTAACGATAGAAAATAGCATTCGTGAAGGCATGATAATGATAAGTCATCGATATGCTAAAGCAAATAATTCACAATATCCAAACTATGAGTCCAGCAAGCTGAATTTCTGGATCATGTATGAGGATATGAATACTTTATATTCAAGTGCAATGATCTAATACATGTTTACAGAAATTTTAGGTAAAGTAGCGTCAGAGAAAATACCAGATATCCAAAGTATAGCGCCAGATGCAGAAATAAGCTATATAATAGAAGTTGATCTAGAAGCCCAATGCACTTGCATGATTTATTTACAGATTATTCATTAGCACTTGAAAAACAAATAGTTCCAGAAAACTGGCTTAGTTTATATAACGAAAGATTAGTGAAAGATAAAAAATTGGAAATGAAAAATATGTGTCTGGAAAGAAGCTAGTTTAGACCCTCTTTACTAAGAAGAACTATGTAGTTTACTATCGAGCTCTTCAGATATATATGAAGTTTAGGATGAAGGTTACAAAGATTCATGGTGTTCTTAAATTTCGGTAGTTTCTATAGATGAAAGACTATATTGAGAAAAATATTCGTAAGCGTAAAATTGCTAAAGCTAATAGGAATGAGTTTGGAATTATGTATTATAAGCTAAAGAACAATGCAGTCTTTGGCAAACAAATGAAAAATGTTCAAAAATATATGAGAGTAGAATTACTCTGAACAGAAGAAGATAAAAAATTAGACGCCTAGCAAGTTCACTATTATATGTAGGCTTTAAAGTATTCAAAGGGGAATTACAGCAATCCATATGTTAAAAGTATAGTAACTCTAAACAAACTAATCTATGTAGGGTAGGCAATTCTTAATATTAGCAAAGCTATGATGTTTAACTTTTGGTACAGTTACATAAAGTCTCGCTATGAAGATAAGGCTTGTCTATTTTATACAGATACAGACTCACTTATAATGTGAATAGAAACTGAAGACATATATAAAGATCAAGCAGAAAAATCAGATATTTTCGATCTTAACTATTTAGAAGACTTATTTCTAATGAAGGATAAGACAAAAGAGATCCAATAGGCGAATCAGTACGCTTGAAGCCAAAAATGTATTCAGTTCTTCCAGCAGGACATGATCCTAAAACTTCTGAAACAGATGTAGATTTTGAAAAAGAATTAGAAGAGGAAGAATATAGAAAGTCATAGAGTGGAAAGAAATAGGAGAAAAAGCATAGCATCCAGAAGGTAAAGGGTATAAAGAAATGCGTGATCAAAAGGGAGCTTTGATATAATAAGTTCCTAGAATGTCTTAGGAACAAGAGACTAATCTGGCATGATATGTATAACCTCCAAAGTTATGATCATCAAATATATCTGGAGAGGGTAAATAAGATAGGGCTGAATCCATATAATAATAAGCACTAGATCTTATTTGATGGAATTTGAACTCTCCCATATGGACATTGGCGAATTGGATTATACAAACGCCTGGTAGCATTTAAAATATCTCCTGAGAGAGCAGAAGAAAGAGCTATAAAAGTTAGACTTCAAATCAAGGAATAGATACTTAATAACAAATATTTTTTCCAAGTAAAAAATTATCAAAAATATAATTTTATTAATTAAAGTTTTTTTATCGTTATAGTAGAAATAATACAAAAATGGTCGATCATAAGGATATAGAACTTGCGTAAATCAAAGTCATAAAATCTGCATTACGAAAGGGCAAAAAATATGATAATCTTGCAAAAAACTATGGAGATTATTTAAAGAAATTGTGAGCTGAAAAGAATCTAAATGACTATATTAAGACAGTCGCAGTCAAGATGTTTTCTAATAAAGAAGCATACACTTTAAGGCTAGAAAATTATCGCAAAAGATATATAGATAATGATCTGTATGTTAGCTTAGAGGAATTATATGAGCTTTATTATGATATAGTCAAGGAAGAGAATTGTGAAAGGTCAGATGATGAAATAAAACAGATGCTCAGAGTAATGGCAATCTAGTCATTTAGTGAGTGACATATATATGCAAGCAGAAAAATGCCAATTACAGTGCTAACATAATATTTTAGATTTTGTTCAAACATGATAAATATTCAGTTTATTTTTTTTCTGATACGATAAATGTTCAGTTATAGAAAAGATAATAGCTGAACATTTATCTAATAATAGTTTTCAGCATAATCCAGTCTATGATATACATAGCAGAGGATATATTGATGATTTTGTATAAGTACTAATTCTGTACGAACTTTTTAAAAATGCAGAGAACGCAATGTCAGCGACTAAGACATTAGCTAAAATAGTTCTATCTAATAATATCAGTATAGGTTCAATCAGAAAATATTCAAATAATATTGATATTCCAAATGAATTTTACAATCTAGTAAAGGCATTTTATTATTTGATTCTAAGAGAAAGAAAAAGGGTTAGATGACAAATACCCTCTCCAGCAATTCGATAGAATAAGGGGGTATAATTATTAGATTTTTTTCTGACGCAATAAATATTCAGCTATAAAACATAACACTCAAAATGGCTTATATAAAATTTGACCTTTTCAAGTATCCAAAAAATAAGAAATATTATTATTCAGAAACAGATGATTCTGATTCAATTCATCTGAGTCTGAAAGTCAAATGCTATAAATCAAAAAAGACCAAGTGGTCTAATCTTTCAAAAAAAACACACATGTTTAGACTGCTGAAATTTGTCATATACAATCCAGCCAAGTATGATGCTGATCTTATATGCATAAAAATATTAACCAGAAGCTGATCCTGTGCAATTGGACGAGCTCAGATACAATGTTTATTCCTTGTAGATTGAATGTAGCTTAATAAATAATGTGTAGTAATATTATGGTAATCATTACATATATCATGGGAACAAGCAACTGCGCATAATAATTTATTCTCAAACTTTCTTGCACATTCTCAAAATTATATAAAGCCCCTTGATGATCTTTACATATGAATAGCATTAATTTTTTGGTGAAACACCTTTGACTAATCACCTGCTAATTTGCAACTCAGGATCAGCCAGCGAAGATCTAGAGACTTTCATGTTTTGTGATGATCAACTGCGAAAGGAATATAATTATAAAAATGGTGGATGTATAGGAAGGCTTAGGTAAGAAAAAAAATATAAAATCAAATATATATTATTGCCGAAGTCATCCAGACTCTTTGAACTATCAAACTACATAATTTATCATTTTCTAAAACTATTCCTTCAACAAGAATAATTCTGCATATAACAAAATCAAACTAAAATAATCTAAAACAATGTTCTCAGATATTTTTTTGTTTGTTGTTTTCAGCATCATAGTTATTATTTTTGAGATGATAAGCCGTGATACCCTAACTATGGACATGATTCAGGGAATTCTTTCAGAAAATACAAACATTTACATAATTCTTGCCATTGCGATCTTCTTTTCTCATAAATATCTAATGGGAATGCAAGATAAAAATAATAAGCTTGAAAGAATCCTCCTAACTTTAAGCAATGAGCTCCAAAGAATACATATGGAAGCTGAATGGCGAAATGATGCATCATTTTAAGGTATAGTATATGATAGGAAAAAAAATTAACCGATATGTATAATACTTATCTGCACCTTACTGCGCTTATTTTTTAGTAGGTTCTAATCGATTTACTTCAACAAGTCACGTTTTCATGAGATGATGTTTTGAATATACAAAGAGTATGAAACATACTGGGTCGAGTTTACAGCTCTTTTTAATAATAAGAGGAAAAAAGAAGGATGTTTTCCAATGTAATTATATAACATTTTATCAATCGAAATTAGACTTAGTACTAGTACTTTAGCTAGCTTTTACTGTCACCAAAATCTTCAAGAACAACTTCTATGGATAAAATTATCGAATGGATTGAGAAAGAAGGAAACAAAAAAGTAGTTAGTTTTTCGAATAGTAGTAGTAGCGGTAGTAGTAATAGTAATACTTTCAGTAAGGGTAGTAATGCGAAATAAAAATAGTGCTAGGATTCTCATTTATGGTCTAGAATCTGAGAACTTTCTTCCTCTTAGAGTGTTTATGACTCTTTGTGCATCATTTTTTTTCAAATGTTATTTTCCTAGCCATTTTTTTTTATATATTTCTTAGCCAGGTCGAAGACGCTAAACTAAGGCATCTATCTAAAAATTTTTAATAAAGCTCTGAATGTTATTTTTTAAATAATAATAATAAATTTTTACATGTAAGATTTTTTTTTGCGCGTAAAATATCTGAGTATAATGTTCCATCCAGATTATAATTACATTACAGATAAGCTTTCAGTAAGTATAAAAGATAGGGTATACCAAAAGCTCCTAAATCATTCGCACAAACCTATTCCTCTAAATCAGATTTCAGAGAAAAATAAGCGGATAGAGGATTATTTGCACTATACATTAGAGATTTACCAGAAATCATTAGACTGGAGTTGTAAAGCTATGGATCAGAAAAAACCATGATCTCAAAGTTAGCTGAAATGCCTAGCATCCGATAATAAATCCTAAACTGAAAATAAGTCAGATGATCATAGGGCGGGAATTAATGATCAGACTAAATATAAACTTATTATTCTGCAAAAGCAACTGCTTAAATATAATAAAGAAACATTTAGTCGTTTTATGCAGAATCTGACTAGAGAACATGAGGAACGAATCAAGGAAAATAACCATTTACACTATGAAATTAATAAAATAAAGGCACAGGTGCAAGGGATAGAAAAAGCCCTTGCTATTATGAAATCAACAGTATAAAATTAACTGATCATCCTGTATAAATACATCATGCGAAACATCTCTGGCTAAATCCCTTTGTTAATCATAAGAGATCTACAAACTGAAAGTGAAAAAGGAGCCAGGTGTACCATAATACAATGATGATCATGTTGTGTATATTGTCTCAGATCTAATTTAACTAAATCAAAAAAAATTGAATAAAAAAAATGAATCTGATATTTTATTATAATATACTTATTACAAACTGCTATAACAAGAAATATTCGCTAAAAATGCTATCCCTTAAAGCGTAGGTATAAATTGGCTATAAAATATTATAGAAAAATTATAATATTTTAATATCTAATGATTA